AAAAAAAAAAAAAAAAAAAGATTGCATCAGAGGATTCTTGTTGTTAAGTGTCCCTGAATCGCTTCTGACTCATAGTGACCTTGCATAGGGTTTCCAAGGAACAGGTGGTTGGTTTGAATCATTGACCCTATGGTTAGCAGTCTAGTGCTTACCCTACGGTGCCACACCAGGATTTCTGAAGGAACCTTGTTGTTGTTCAGTGCCATCGAGTGAGTCTGACCCATAGTGACCACATGTATAGGGTTCCCGAGGAGCGGCTGGTGAGCTTGAACCCCCGACCTTGCAGTTCAAACTAACTTTGCAGTTTAGCACATTAACCCACAGTGCCACTCCAGGAATCTTATGGTCCTGTAATTTAAAAACTGAAGAATGCCCAAAATGAAACTAGCTATTAATGGGGCAACAGAAGAGTTAAAAGCATGTGAAGAAGAGGTTGAGCTTGAGGGAGCTGGGTTTTCTGAGCTAAATACAAACCTTTTCACTGGGCAGTGCTGCGTCTTGATTGGTTAACAAAATCTTAGAAGAATTCCTTTTGTCCTCAGAGGAGTTGGTCTCTATGAACTTCTCCTCCCCTCTGAAGGCAGAACTTGAGGAAACCAAGCACGAGGAGTGATGGACGGTGACAAGTGGCTCGCTGTGTCAATAAATCACAAAGACATCACTAGACATCTTAAAGGAACTAGGACGCATGTCAACCAGTTTGCTTAAATTTAGAAGAATCTCAACAGGACATAGAAACACGTACTTGAGCTTAAGTTTCAGTTCTAATTGCTGTTGTTAAGTGCCGTTAAGTGGGTTACAACTCAGTGCGGCCCCAGACGGGGTTTCTACGGCTGTAAAGCTTTGAGGAGAAGAAAGCCTCATGACAAGTAAAAGTAAAACGCAATTCCTAGTGAAGTGTAACGACAGGCTATAGAGAATTTCCTGCTCCCCCCAAAAACCATAAAGAAGGTTCCAGGGAAGGATTACCTAAGAGAAAGAAAAAAGATGAACATAGTTTATGAGGGTTGTAACTTAGGCGTGAACATTTTAGGTGTTTGGTTTGCAGCTTTGATTATTGTTAATAGCTTTAAAATGTTCTTTTATGAGCTTAGAATGTCATTGTGGTCACGCTTTAATTCTTCTCTGGGTACTTAGTATTAGAGGACAAACACATGTAGCTAATGTTAAGTTTGGGGCTTAAGGCAGAGTTTGATAGCAAAAGCTATCTAGAACAGGCCACAGTCTACACCTCAAACAACCACCAGGGCTTCGCCCTTCCCAGGGCAACCACTATGGGTCGGATGGAATGAAGGCACAAATGTGGGCATTCTAGTCAGGTAATAAAGTAGGCACGCAAGTCCTTCTAATCGAAGGCAAAAAAGGAAAACATCATTATCTTTTCTCCTTAGTCACATATCTGTCATGTGATGCCTTGGCATGTGCCCCTGCTGGCAGAACAGGCAGTCACTTCTAGTCAGGGAGGTCAAAAGGGCCTTGAAAGAAAACTCTGGATTTAAATGTACAGTTCTTTCTGATGCTACATTCAATATACGTCCACAATGCCATAAGCTCTCTCCTTAATGTGTGAATGTTCTTGGCAAGTCATGGAAAATTGGCAGTTCTGCCCTGTTGAGTACCTTCAATGATTTACAGAAGGGTTTTAGATTCAAGTTTGAACATGTGGCAGCGTGACCACCAATTGATTTTTTTTTTTTTTTAATTTGCCAATGGGCAAGATAAATATCTGCACTCTTTGGTCCTCAAAGGGCCTAAGAAGAACCCCAAAAATATCAATACCAGGAAGAAATTATAATCATCAAGTCCTACGCAAGTCAATGCAATGATTAAAATAAGGCTGTAGATACAGAAACGTCATCCTTCCTCTAATACCAGACTGAAGAGCTCGGCTTTCTTTAAAAATAGCAGATGTGACTACAGCGCGGCTCAACCACAAGACTCAGCAATTCTAACAATACGGACGGTCTGAATAATGCAGAAGCATATGTCACAAACCAATCCACTTTCTTCTTTTAAAAAATATAATAATAACTTTACCAGTTTGTGAAATAGAAACATTCTTTGCTTTACATATATATTTTTTTTAATGAAGAAAGTGTGGGAGATGCTAGGAGAGCAAATATGGACTGACCTCATGGTGGCAAAGTCAGGCACATAAACACACTAAGCGCCCCTGGGGAGGAGGGCAGAAAGAAATCTTGATGCGGGGCCTAGGGGCAGTGACCTGGACAGGACAGGGCCTACTTGCCCATTCCACATGGATCCAGGGGCATGGAACATTCCAGAGCTGCATTCCACTCTGAACATTTGTTTTTTTTAATAAAACGTATTTGCCAAACTCATCTGCGAGCTACTTTTGTTGTTCAGAGAGACCTTTGTCTCCTAAGCCGCCTGCGTGGGCACACACATTTCCCTGGACTCTGAGAAGAGCCTTTGTGCAAAGAACCTTAAGGGTTGATTCTGTGATGTGGGGTAACTAACTGGCTTCTCTTAAAGAAGACTGGGCTTCCGGTTACAAACACTACTCTCCGCTAGCAACTGACAATCACAGTATGTTCAGCTTCCAGAGCCCTGGGTATTTCTGGGTGTTGTATTTGTGACCCTCTGGGTGCTGGCAAATGTAAACTAGAACTCACCTGACTGAGGAGTTGTGTTTTGCTCTACTGGCACTTTCTGTACAAGAGCATGTGGACTTATGGCGAACAATTCTTTCTACTTTGTACGGCTTGAAAAGGTTCATCCACTGGACATCAGACATGTGGCCTGGGGCTTCAACTACAAAGTCACTCGGGTGGCAGCACTTGGAGTCATAGAGATCACTTTCATTCAGACAGGTCTCGTCATTCGGGCAGAACGACACCTCCGACCTGCCCCTCGGATCTTGACAATCACCGCTTGGCTTTTCGGGTGATTTGCAGCCAGGACAGGTGGCCAGGCCCAGGTAAACACTGACGTCATGCCACTGCTTTTCATCGGCTAGAGACAACTCCAACAGCTGCTTCTCTTGGTTTGGCATCCCAAGCTCGCTATCTTTGGACAATTTGGCATGGATCTTGCACAAGGAACTTTTGTTTTCAGATTCAATCTGGAGTTTTCCTCCCAGAGACCAAGACCTGTGTTTCTCCACTGAGTCTTTTGTAAACAGAGATGAGAGAGCAGTTACACGTTTTTCCCCAAAGCAGGCGTTAACCTGTAGTTTCTTCTCTTTGCATACATCGTAAGAGCTCTTGTCTGACCTATTTGGCTGAACCAACATGGTCTCAAATTTTTGGTCCTTAACCAGTAACTTCTGATCTTTCTCTCTCTTAACATCGGCTTTGGAGTGGCTAGTTTCAAGGTCTGACAAACACATGTCTCCGCTATGATGGCATTACAAAAAAATGTAAATTACAAGATGTACTTGACTCTAGTATCGTTCTACATATTTTACCCAAACTTCCTTATTAGTACAGTTAACCGCCCTCCCACCCCCCACCCCGTAAGACTCGTTTGTCTGAAGTTAGCTAGAAGGTACCTCCTCCAATAAGCCTCTGGGACCACTAACTCCACACCATTCACATTGCCTTCTCATCCTAAGCTATCTCACACGGTTGCCTACATCACACAGCCCTTGTCTCACTCCATGAATAAGGTAACCAACTGTACAGCAAATTTTCCTGTTAGCACTCTATTGCTCACTATTTCACACAAAGATCTGGTCATCTTAACAGATCGTTAAGTTTCCTTTGGGTAAAGGCCATCTTTTAAATCCTGTTGGCACCTAGGAAAGACTTCAATGTATATTCTGTGTTCCATAAATACTTTTTGGTGGATTGATCTGATATTCTCTTTTCTAACTCCAGCATTTCACAGAAAGCAAGAGGTGAACCCAGGATTAGAAGGTGATAGGGATTCAGAGTACAAACATAAAGCATTGCTACCTGGGTGGACCCCACGGCCTTCACTACCATGCCAGCTATGAAACCCACTAGGTAACTTACACAGCTACACATTGAAATCTGATCTACAATAAAAATAACACACGGGTGACACTGTGACAGACATTTTAATAAGTCATGTTTTAAGTGTCCTGTCACATATATTTACTGATTCTGAGCTGCAGAATTCGGATCCCTAGGAAAACTCAACGCTTATGTGCTTAAAGAGATAATCTAACTCATCTAGCCCAGGCATCACCCAGTGGTGAGGGAGCACAAAAAGGAAAGAGCTGATATGTGAAGGGACACTGTCTGCAGGAGAACTCCAGTGATTTGCTATTGACCTGCAGGAGGGGTCTGAGTTGGTCTGAGGTCTGCTGACAGGAGCAGCAGCTAGGAAGCAGACTGCTCAGAGGAAATGCACAGCAAAGTGAAGCGTCCTCCCAGGCTCCATTGCTGCTGGCACCCACATTCTGAGCTCCTTTCTCCCCGGGGAAATGGGCCACCTCCTGTGCAGACCAGCCTTTGAGGACAAGTGCCCTTGTGGGGGGACTTCGCTGAGCCCACTCATGTTCTTCTGCTTGGAAAAGCAGGCTAAATCTGTTTGTTTCACTACTGGACAGTGACATGTCTGTTAAAATCAACCTCACTCTACGTGTTACCATTTAAATTTTACAGAAACCAACTTAATTCACATACAGTTTGCAATCAGAAAGAGGAGGAGCTTCCTTGTATTAACAAAGAAACGAGGGAAACCCAATAAAAGCGGACATCACCCCGCAGCTAGAAAGGCCGTCTTCCCTCCTCTGAGTCCCAAGTGCAGCTGTTCACAGGATTCTTTGGCACATTCCACGGGCTTGTACCAGTCCCAGGAACCTTTATCATTCCTACTTTGAGCCCAGAGCTGAGAAGCTTTTGAGTATTCAATAAACATTCGCTGAATGAATGAATCATTTTTCTTTGCAGTTTCCAGCTCAGTCTTCAACTCAATAGGCACACAAACCATGTTTAATGGGTTTACTTTGACCAAGCAGTTAAATTAGGAGAAAGCCTCAAATTCTACAATCAGGTCTCATTATAACCTAGGATTATCACAATTTTTATGAGTTGACATATACTTGTCCCCTCCTATATGGGAATAGGAGTACTACTAGCCCATGGAAGTATTCAGTACATATTGATTGACTAAAGGATGGGACAAAGCGCAAGATGTCGCTAACAGCAGCTTACCTAGCCTCCAGGGCCTTTGGTGCCTCCATCCTTGCATCACATAGCTGGATTAATTCCTGAGAATTTTCCACGTTACAGTGAAGAAACTGCAGATCATGCTGTTGTTTCACATAAATCTGCCCATAGATATTGATGAACCAACACAAAACACAACGACAAAACGAAAAGGAGTCAACAATTTGGCTTTTGAACTCTAACACATATCATATACTGACTAGAGAAAGAAGCTAAGTATGTCTGTTTTTTACCAACAAATAACATGATAAATGGAGAAAAGATGGAAGTTGGCAAAGACTTCATTTTGCTTGGACCCACATCAACACTCATGGAAGCAGCAGTCAGAAATCAAATCATGTATTGCATCAGGCAAATCTGCTGCACAAGACAGCCTTAAAGTATTCAAGAGGAAAAGAGTTAGTCTGGGGACTAAAGTGCACCTGACCCACGCCATGGTATTTTCAATAGCCTCATCCAGATAGCGTAGTGGTTATGAATTGGGCTGGTAACCTCAAGTTATCAGTTCGAAACTGCCACCTGTTCTGCAAGAGAAAGATGAGGCTTTCTGCTCCTGTAAAGATTTACAGCCTCAGAAACCCTGTGCAGGGTCACTGAGTTGGAACCCACTCCACAGTGAACAGCCACCACCATCATATGCATGTGAAAAGGCCTTAGAAGAGCTGATGCATGTGAGTTACATTGTTGGAGAAGAATATTCTTCTGGACTACCAGAAGAACAAACAAATCTTTATTGAAAGAAGTATAATCAGAATGCTCCTTAGAGACTTCGTGTCTCATACTTCAGACATGTTGTTAGAAGGGACCAATCCCTGGAGAGGGACATTATGCTTGGTCACATGGAGAGTTGACAGGCAGGAGGGAGACCCCCAGCGGGATGGATTGGTACAGGGGCACAAGTGTAGCAAGTATTGTGAGGCTGGCACAGGACCAGGCAATGTTCATTCTGTTGGGCACAGGGTCACTGTCACTATGGGTCAGAACTGACTCGATGGCACCTAACAGCAACAATGGAAGCATTAGCCTGTCTTCACCCTATAACTGATCGTAACACCTAACAGGGGTTCTAGAACTTGCCCAGTGAAATAGGCCTTTGCAGAGTATAGGACCTTAGGTGGAATCCTGAGTCCCATCCAGAACTTTCTGAGGTAGAACATTTCCACTAGAAAAGACAAGCAAACCAGTCTGGAACAGCTAGAGCCATGGAAGATACATCTTCAAAGAAAGATCATCAGGAAAAACCCAAAACAAAAATGTCAGCATGTCTGGCTACTACAAGAATAAGAAAACTGTTCGCTGGAAAGCCATCAAGGTAAGCAATTAAGTTCCTTCAGGACAAACCCTGCCTCTAAGACTGAAACTCAAAGGGAACACATGAGCAGGCATGTAAGCTTGCTGGTGACCACATTGGTCCACTGGTGAGTGGAAGAGGGGGAAAGGCAGCAATGAAGAAATGGGCTGAGTTCAGCCACAGTCCATTGACTCCCGTTGACCTGGAGATGAGAGAGAGAAATGGAAGGCCTGGTTGGTCCAAAGTGTGGTGAGACCTGGGGACATCTGAGCCCATGGACAAGGACATAGCCACAGAGGGTTAGAGCTGAGAGTGAATATAAAGTGAGGGGAGATGCACAAAAACACCCAAACATGCAGACAGTACCCACTTGACCTAGCCTCGATGGCTTGATAATTAGAACTCAACTAGAGGAAGATTAAAAAAAAATTTTTTTTGATAGAGGAAACAAAGGTAAATTGCTACAATTTGATGAACCTGACCTATACTCACAGAGGTATTAACTCTAAATACTAATAGAGAGGGAAAGAGTCTTCACATCAAGCATCCATGCTATCCCCTGTGTACACAGGGTAGATAGTGATGGGCAATTTAGACATTAGCTACCTAAAATGAGGGGGCGATAAAGGCACGAAGTGACTGGCTTACAAGGTTTCAAGAGGAAGTTTAAGGGAGGCGGGGGGAGAAAGAATTCCCACTGAATAGTTTTCATCTTTTCTAAGTGGGTTTGGTTAAAAGAGATGGGTATAAGATGCTTAAGATACAATAGTAAGTAATTGTTATCATGACTATTTTCAACTGTCACAACTGTAAATGTAGAAGATTTGTAACGAACAAGGGGAAGTGGTTAATCTAACAGTCCAGAAACAGAGGACCCTAGGACCATTAAGGGAGATGAGCACGAGCAGAATGCGGGACCTTATCCAGAGAAGCAGTGACACCAGAGATGGGGGCAGAGAGAGGGGGAGTGGCTGAGGACTCTAGACTCATGGAAAAAGAGGGACACTAACAGATAGGGGCCAGGAGGCAGACTTGCAGAATGTGTCCTTTGGTGGTATAAACTATTATACATATATATTCCTGAGTTAAAAAAAAAAAAAAATAGCTAAAGTGAATAGCGAGAAATATTGTTAACTGATGGTACATAGAAGGGATTGTAATCATTGTGATGAAACATGTTGTATGATTTGTTGAATGTAAAACTGATGCTCTGCCCTGTAAACTTTCACTCAATCCACAATAAAAACTTAAAGGAAAAAAAAACAAAACAATGGAAGCACTAAAGGAGCCCTTTGGCACTGTGGATTAGGTTTGGGGCTAATCCCAAAGCTGGATGTTCAAACCCATCAATCACTTCACAGAAGAAAGATGAGGCTTTCTGTTCCTATAAGATTTACAGTCTCAGAAACCCTAAACACGGTCGCTATGAACTGGAATTGACTTGAAGGTAGTATGTTTGGTTTGCGGTTTTGGTACAGGAGCATTAAGATTTACCAGTATAACCAGTCTCCTAAACTTGTTGCTAGAAGTAAGACCTTCATCTGCTAACCTCTTGTTTCCAGGAGCAAGTCTTTCCCTATGAATGCTAAACATGATAGATACCCAAATGATTCCAAAGCACCATAAAAATAAAAACATCAACAGGCATAACTTTGTCATTTAACAAGTGTGTGTCACTACTTCCCAGCTGGCCGTTGCTTGGGGACATACCTGTCTCAGATTATGCAGCTCAGTATTGGTCCGTTCTTGTTTTGACTTTGCGATATCAAGTAAATCATCTTTCCTCTTCTCTCTTTCTACTGTTTATAAGCAAACACAATAAAAAAATATTTTTAAATCAGTGATATCAATGCCAATCTCTCTGTTCCCAACAACTTAATGCTCAGCTGACATTCTTTTCTTCTCTCTCCCTTTGTTCCTGAATTTTCTAAAGGCAGAATGGAACGGCTGACTAGGAAGAGCCCTAATTTGCCCTTCTGGCTAAGTTCTTCAGCAAATGGGAAAACGTTCATGACAATTCTTTTACCTTTTTTGGGGGGTGGAGTGTAGGGGAAGCAAGGATTTCTCAACCTCTGTGTGAACCTAAGGGCTTCTGGTGGCACAGTGGGTTACATGCTGGACTATTAAGCACAAGGTCAGCAGTTTGAGTCCACCAGCAGCTTCATGAGAGAAAGATGAGGCTTTCTGCTCCTATAAAGATCTACAGCCTTAGAATCTCTATAGAGGGTCATTATGAGTTAGAATCAATTCAACAGCTCACAATATTATTAGCGTATATTACTTGAATTTTTAATTATTTTCAAATTATACAGGTAACTTATAAGCGCATTTTCATTACTAAAATTCCAAACATTATAGATTTCTGTCAACAGAAAAACAATATTAACATGATATGGGAAGGAGAGACATTGTTTTTGACAAGCGTGCAGTAAGCTGGTACATTCTCACTGATGGTCTAGTCTCACGGACCAAAGATATTTGTACCCAGGTGGTGCTCTCACAGGCAGACAAACGTCATTTCTGGTCTTATAGAGGCCCAGTATTCCCCTAAAGACTTTTTATGTTTTTTTTCATCTCACAAGTGTTGTTTATCATTTATTTTCTTATCTCAGGACAATGGTTTCAGGGGTTCACCCAGACTCAATGACTCTAGAAAGTCTAGGTTCCATGAGAATTTAGAATTCTGTTCTGCATTTCTCCCCACACTTGCTATCTCTTGAAAACTCTTCTCATCTGACTAGGACACACTATTCAGAAGTCTCTTCCACATGTCGTTGTTATGTGCTGGGAAGTCAGTTCCAACTTATAGCAACCCTGTATAGGGTTTTCCAGGAGAGGCTGGTGAGTTTGAAATGCTGACCTTGTGGTTCAAACCAACCTTCTGGTCCATTGCTTTAACCCACAGCACCACGCCAGGACTCCTCCACACAGGCAGTAATAAACTCAATTTCTTAGTGCAGAAAGGTGGACTGGAGAGATCTGTACGACCCTCATTACTGCTGAAGATGGCACACTAGAATTGGGGCATGGCAAATCAACATTGTAAAAAAAAAATTTCAGAACCTGGTAAATGAGAACCCACAAGATGGAAAGGACAAGAATCAGGAATAAAAAACAGCATTGCGCTTCAAGAGAAATCATTTAGTTCATAAAGAACTAAGGAATCAACAATAATGGCTTCACTTTTTAAAAAAAATCAACACCCTCCTAACGAAACCGCAAAAGCAAGTCACTGCGGCTGAAGTCAATTCTGACGCACGGTGAGCCTACAGGACAGGGGAGGGTTTCTGAGACTGGCTGTCTTCCCAGCAGCAGACAGCCTCAGCTCTCTCTCAAAGAGCAGTGGATGGGTGTGAACCACTGACCCTGCAGCCCAACAACTAAACCACTGTGCCACCAGGGCTCCTAAACTTTTCTAAGCAGTTCAAACTAAAGGCGTAAAATGATCCCTGAACTATACATGAACTGGTTTTACGGAATTCTGATATAACCTAAAGAAAAACTTACGATTACTCTCTATGGTTCTTTCATAAGATGCCTTTCATAAGCCCTAGTGGTACCGTGGGTTAAGCACAGTGCTGCTAACTCTAGGATGGCTGATTCAGATGTGTCAGCACTCCTCCGGATAACGACGAGACTGTCTGCTCACGTCACATTTTGTCGTCTTGGAAAAGCTGTGGAGCAGAGCTACTCTGTGTGACCAGGTAACTAGGAGTCAGAACCAACCCGTGCCAGGGGATTTTCATGTTTCTCATGAAGGACATAAAATCATCTTTAGTATTGATGAATATCTGGAACATCACAAAAACATTTAAAGGCAAAGGCTTGTGCTTTGCTGTATGTAGACTGTAAATGCTGGGACAGCTGCTGTGGTCACAGGGCACCCAATCCAGTCAAAGTCACCCTCCTCCACTAGAAACCCACTTTTCATCTCACAATCCCTGTCCGTGACAGAGCCAGAAAGGAAGCACAGTAAAAGAAGCCATCGTGCCAAGTTTAAGTCATCCCTTTTTACCCCTAGTCAATTCTCAATTGGGTTCTTCACTTTGAAAAAGTCAGCACGTAACAAGACAGATCATCTGTAGACAATAACACAGACTTGCATCATTTTTGCAGAGTTGCATTTACTTTATGTGCATTGAGTTATACGAGGGAACCTCAAAAAGTTCATGGACAAATTCCATTATCTTTTCATTCCATTTGTCTACAAACTTTTTGAAGTACCTTCGTATGCACAAAAACTAAGAACTAAAAAAGATCCAAGTGCTGTCGAGTTGGTTCTCACTCACAGTGACCCTGTATAGGATTTTTGAGGAGCAGCTGGTGGGTTTGAACTGCCGACCTTGTGGTTGAAGCCGACCTTGCGATCCAGTACTTATTCTACAGTGCCACACCAGGACTCCCTAGTGCTGTAACTGCAGTTGTTAAGTGCCGTTGAGATGATTCCAACTCATAGCGACCCTGTACAGGGTTTCCGAGGACTGGCTAGTGGGTTTGAACTGCCGACCTTGTGGTTAGCAGTCCAGTGTTTATCCTATGCCATGTTGTTGTTGTTATTAAGTGCTGTCGAGTAGGTTCTGACCCATAGTGACTCTGAATACGGTTTCCGAAGAGCAGCTGGTGAGCTTGAACCACCAACCTTGCAGTTCAAACGGCTTTGCTATCTGGTGCATTTACCCACAGTGCCACACCAGGACTCCGTCCTATGCCACAATGAGGAAAAATTTCTTAGTACACATGCCCGGCAGTCAGATGGGGAGCACCTACAGGTCCCTCAGAGGGTCTTCACGCCACTCACCTCTGACATTCAGAGCCCTGGTGGTGCAGTATTTGAGCATTCTACAAATAACTGAAAGGTCGGCGGTTTGAACCCATCCACTGCTCTGCTGGAGAAAGACCCTAAGATTATCGCCTAGGAAACGCTGTCCCCTAGGGTTGTCATGAGTCAGAATCAACTCAATGGCAAGAGGTTCTCATAGTAACACCACTTCGACACTGTGTGGACTCCAACGATTTAAAGATACTTGTGTGGGGTATAACATGACCCCTAAACAAAAGTCAACCACTCCATCTGGTGTGCAAGGGTTATTTTGAATGTATTTCATTTTGTCTTTATGTCTGACTTTAGAATAATCTATTGTTTCTGAAGAGGCAACTGTACTGTAAATATAGATGTTTCCCTAGTTGAGATCATTGAGTCCTGGGATGGCACTCTAGGATAAGCACTGGACTGCTATCTGCAAGGTTAGCAGTTCAAAGCCTTCAGCTGCTCCTTGGAAACCATACGCAGGATTCCTATGAGTTGGAACCCACTCCACAGCACTTACAACAACAACAGTTGAGACAGTTTGCTCTATGGCCATGCTTAGCAAGACATCAGTATACCTGTTTTCCTAGGAGGTAAAGGACAGTCCTGGAAAGCAGAGGTAGGAAGCTCTCTGCTGAGAAGATGGCACAGGGGGCCCTGACCAACACTGACCCTGTAACTGGGGACCTCAGGCAGGGTGCTCAGTGCCTGCAGACCCATTTATTGGACTGGAAGACACTCTCATTTTATTGCACTTCACCTTATTGATATTGCATGTTTTGAAACTGGAAAGTCTGTGGCAACCCTGAATCCATCAAGTCTCTCAGCGCTATTTCCCCAATAGTGTGTGCTTGCTTTGTGTCTCTGTCACATTTTGGTCATTCTTGCAATATTTCAAATTGTGTGGTGCTCTGGGTTAACGCGCTGGACTGCAAAATTGGTTTGAACAGCAAGGGTGGCAGTTCAAGCTCACCAACCACTCCTTGGTAACCCTACACAGGGTCACTATGGGTCAGAACAGACCTGACAGCACTTAACAACAACAACAACAACTGCACACTTACTAGACTACAGTATAGCGAAAACAACATTTATATGCATTAAGAAAACACACAATTTGTGTGACTTGCTTTTTCACTGTGATCTCGAATGGGGGCTGCATGTCTCTGAGGTCTGCCTAAATAAGGACCCACAATGGGTCACCAAGGGTCAGATCCAACTCAATGGCATCTGGTTTGGTTTTTCTTTTTCAGGGCTCACAAAGTGTAAACAAATGTTACCATCTTATTTGCAAGCTCCTTGTAAACAAGGTGGACAAACCGATGATATATGTCTCTAAACCTATGCGAAGGAGCTCACCTTTAGCAAAAGAAAACATGAGACTTGCGCTAAAAAGGCAGGTACCATGTGAAGCATCTTCCAATTTTAAATGAACTATGTTAGCTTTCAGCCATAGCACACGAGCTCATCATATTAAAACTCAATTAATATTCTTCCACGGCTTAACTCACATTTATAATTGAATTAAACACTGTTTTGAAACAATGGTAATGGGATTGTCTTTAGGAGAAAACATGTTCAAGAAATCAGCTTAGAAAATGGCCTAAGGAATCTATTTTAGATTTAATATAGCATTAAAGAGTCATTGAACTGTGAACCATAAGGTCGGCAGTTCAAACCCACCAGCTGCTCCTCGGAAACCCTGTACATGGTCCCTGTGAGTCAGAACCCTCTCGAGGACACCTAACAACAGCAAAGAGCCACAGAATTCACTGGGTGACACCTAGTAGAATGTGTAAGTATAAAGTGATGGCTCACCGAGCAGGAGACGGTTATACTGGTGCTGTAAGCTTTCACTATTCCTCCCAGTGGCCTCATAGAACATTTCATTCAGAGCGTTTGTACTCAACTCTCTGTGAGAAGCCCTGGTGGTGTGATGAGAAAGCACTCCCTCAGTGGCTCCTCGGGAGAAAGACCTGGATTTCTGCTCCTGTAAAGTTAGCGTAGTGGTTATGAATCGGGCTGCAAGCCGCAAGGTCAGCAGTTCGAAACTACCAGCTGTTCCGCGGGAGAAAGATGAGGCTTTTTCTGATCCAGTAAAGATTTACCGCCTCGGAAACCCTGTGCAGGGTCACTATGAGTTGGAACTCATAGTGACTCCAAGGCACATCACAACAACAACAAAAAGTTACAGCTCTGAAAACCCCAGGGGGCAGCATCCAAGCATAACAGTAACTTCTCTGTGGGCCTATGAGTTTCTCAGCAACTAGCTGAGTGTCTGGATCAGAAACACTGACCCAAAGATTGCTTTAATCTAATTATGAAGCTACAACTATGTTAGATTTTTAGCAATGTAAGAAGCGGAGGCAGCAATTCTAGACATAATAAAACAGTGACCTCCAGTGGTAGAAAATCAGACTTTTTCTTAATCCTTGGTGCCGCCATCATATCATAGGGTTTCCGAGGCTGTAAATCTTTACAGGAGCAGAAAGCCTCATCTTTCTCCTGAGGAACAGTTGATAGGTTTGAACTGCTGACCCTGAGGTTAGCAGCCCGATTCGTAACCAGTATGCCACCAGAGCTCTCTTAATCCTTAGTCACTTACAAATAAAAATTAGGAAATCAATTTTATTTGAACATTTCTGAATTGAACTTTTTTCCCTTGAATTTACTGGAATACGTTCTCTTTCTAGATAGAGGAGAGTTAAAGGTAGTTATAAATAGACTGAGAAAAAAAAATGCTAATTTCATTTTCTATGTAGAATTTCTCTCTAGAGGATAAGCAATAGACAGTGAACCACAAGGCTGTGCAAAGACTTACAGTCCAGAAACCTTACGAGTTGGGATCAATTTCATAGCTGTAGGGTTACCGTAGCCTTTCAGTACGGATAACAACATTCCCTGCCTTGTCCCTTCACATTCTTCAAAAGGTATTAAAAAACAATAACAAACAAAGAAAACCTATTTTGAAATGTCTGATTCCTTTAGTCTGTCATTGTTGTTGTTGTTGTTGTGTGCCGTGGAGTCGGTTCCGACTCATAGCGACCCTACACAGGGTTTCCGAGGCTGTAAATCTTTACGGGAGCAGACCGCTTCATCTTTCTCCCGCAGAACCGCTGGTAGTTTCGAACTGCTGACCTTGTGGTTCGCAGCCCGACTCGTAACCACTACGCTACCAGTCTGTCATAGTTGTTTTTATTGTTGAACGCCATCGAGTGGGTTCTGACTCATAACGACCCTGTATAGGGCTTCTGAGAAGCAGCTGGTGGGTTTGAGCCACCAACCTTGCAGTGAGCAGTCCAGTGATTATTCTACAAAGCCACACAGTACTACCTTATAACGTCTGGGTTACAAATGTATAATTGCCTACTTAAACTTGTTTTCTATATTTACCAGTGAAAATCAGCTCATCGTGCAGGTAACTTCTCTCTTGCTTGAGGCGAATGATCTCTTCTCGTTGGTCATTATTTTCTGTTGTCTTTTCATTCAGCTCCTCTTCACAAACAGAATAGGGAAAAAGTTCTTAAATAAACGCTAGTTCCTTGGAGACTATGTGCTATGGGTACGGCTCACGTCCTCAACACTCCCTTCTAATGAACTGACAGTCCAGAAGGACCCACAGCTAAAATATGTCAATAGCAGCAACCCTGGTTTCTCTCGCCTGACTCATTCATTCCCTTGTTGATCCCCTTTCTCACCAGACCTCACATTCCATAGAACATTCAGTCATCTTGCACAAATAAAAAGCCACTTATGTTGCATATGTGATAGAGGCTAGCCAATGGTTCCCTACTACATTAAGGGTGAAATCCAAACATACTAGGACTCCTGGTATGGCACTGTAGGATCAACACTGGACTATGAACCACAGATTGGCAGTTCAAACCCACCAGCTGCTCCTCAGAAATCCTATGTAGGGTTTTATTATTAGCAACCAGGCATAGACTGTTGTTGCTAAGTGCCGTGGAGTTGGTTCCAACTCACAGCGACCCTATGTAGGGTTTCTGAGGATGTAAATCTCTGTGGGAGCAGGAAGCCTCCTTTCCTCCTTGCCTATAGCTTGAGAAATGCTAAGCATGTTTTTCCCATTTTGTTTTCTAATTCCAGGTCTTTGCACATTTTATTATAACATTTTACTGGGTCTTTTCGAGCTGTCCTTTAAAATTTTTCTGTTCATCTCTTTTACTTCATCATTTCTTCCTGCTGCTTTAGCTTCTCTACATTCCAGAGCAAGTTTTAGACTCAAGTTTCAGAGTCTCTTCTGACATCGGAGTTGGTCTTTTCTTTCTCCTTCTATCTTTTTCATGACCACTTACTTTCTTCATGTATGATGTTCTTGATGTCATGCCTCAACTCCTCTGACCTGTCATTAGTACGTAATGCATCAAATCTGTCTTGAGATGGACTCTCAATATTCAGGTGGGACATACCCAAGGTCATATTTTGGTGCTTGTGGACTTGTTTTAATTTTCTTCAGCTTCAGCCTAAACTTGCATATGAGCAATTGATGGTCTGTTCCACAGTCAGCTCCTTGCTTTGTTTTGGCTGATGATATTTAGCTTCTCCATCCTCTCTTCTCACAGCTGTAGTCAACTTTATTCCTGTATATTCCATCTGGTGAGATACACGTACACAGTTGCTGTTTATGTTGCTCAAAAAAGATATTTGAAATGAATAATGCACTGATCTTGCAAAATGTTATCATGCGATCTCCAACATTATTTCTATCACCAAAGTCATCTTTTCAAACTACTGACCCTTCCTTTTTGTTTCCAACTTACCCATTCCAGTGACCAGTAACCATCAATGCATCTTGATTGCATGTTTGATCAATTTCAGCCTAAAGTACTTGTTGGTGGTGGTTGTAAAGTGCCGTGAAGTTGATTCTGACTCATAGTGACCCTGGGTTTCCAAGAGTTTCCAAGAAGCAGCTGTTGGGTCTAAACCACTGACCTTGTGGTTATCAGTTCAGTACTTATCCAAAGCATCAGTAGAATTATTTCATTTCATCATCACTGGCTTCAGTGGTTGACATGTAAATAATAGTTGTATCAACTGGTCCTCCTTACAGGCATATGGGTATTATGCTATCATAGACACAGCATTATACTTCAAGCTAGAACTTGAAATGTACTTTCTGACGGTGAAAACGACACTATTCCTTTCCAGTTGGTCATTCTCCGCATAGTAAACCATAGGACGGTCTGATTCAAAATGGCCACTACCAGTCTGCTCACTAGTGCCTGGAATATCAGTCTTTATGTGTGATATTTCATTTTTTACAACCTTCCTAGATTCATACTTAGCACATTCCACATTCCCATTAGTAATGGATGATACAGCTGTTTCTTCTCATTTGGAGTTTGTATCCCATCAGCCAATGAAGGTCCCAAAAGATCTACTCTTCCATATCATTAAGGTCAACTCTACTTTGAGAAGGTGGTTCTTCCCCAGTTATATTTTGAGTGCCTTCCAACTTGAGGGGCTCATCTTCTGGCACTATATCAGACAACATTCTTATGACTAAGACAACCTTATTCATAAGGTTTTCAGTAGATAACCACTCATAAGTGTTTTGCTTCTCCTGCATCCTAGTCCTTCTTAGTCTGGAAGCTCCGCTGAAACCTGTCCTCCATGGGTGACCCTGCAGGTATTTAAGATGCTGGTGGCATGGCTTCCAACAGCACGGCCGCCACAGTATGACAAACTGACTGATGAGTTGTGGATCACAAGATTAGGTGATGTTAAATGAAGAAACATATTCGCAAAAGAAAACTCTTATGATTTTATGGGCAAATGATGTTCCTTCCTTACCTTTTAGTTTACTAACTTCAACCTTCAGTGTTTTAAATTTTTGCTTATAATCTTGCTTTTCTTTCACAATACTAGTTTCTACCATCTTGGCATCACGTAACGCATGTTCCAATAGTTTAAATTTGCCTGAACAGTCAGCAATGTGATTAACTGCCTCAATAATATCTTTGTCCTTAAAAAACAAAAAGGATAACATTTAAAAACGGTTAAGGTTTTGAAATTTCATCTAGTTAATACGGAAAAATTACGTTGTGTGTCAGGTTTAGCTTACAACACTTCACATTGATTAATTTATTTAATCTTTATAAGAACTTTATAGCCCGCCAACCCCACACCCATAGAGTTGATTCTGATTCACAATGACCCTTTACAGGGTTTACAAGGCTGTGTGCCTCTTTACGGGAGCAACAGCCTCATCTTCCTCCTGTGGAGCCGCTGGTGGGTTTAAATTTCAGAACTTACGGTTAGCAGTTCAATGCCTTACCCACAGCTCCACAAGGACTCAATAAGGCAGGTACTGCTGTTATAATTTATATTGCGGCAAACAACCTCTTTAAAGTGTTAAAAGGAAAGATGTCACTTTAAGAACTAAGGTGTGCCTGACCCAAGACATGGTATTTTCAATTGCCTTGCCTTATATGTATGCGAAACCTGGATGATGAATCAGGCAGACTGAAGAAGAACTGATGCACTTGAATTATGGGGCTGCTGAGGAAAAGTGAAAGTACCATGAACTGCTAGAAGTCCCGCCAGAATGCTCCTTAGAAGCCAGCCTAGTGAGACGTCTTCATCTGACATGTATCAGGAGGGACCACTCCCTGGAGCAGGAGACCATGCTTGAAAAAGTAGAGGGTCAGCAAACAGAGGAAACCCCTCAATGAGACAGACTGACACCGTGGCCACAACAATGGGTTCAAACACAGCAGTGACTGTGAGGATGGCACAGGACCTGGCAGTGTATCCTCCTGTTGGACACGCGGTCACTGTGAGTTGGACACGCAGTCACTGTGTGTTGTAGACGCGGTCACTGTGAGTTGTAGATGCGGTCACTGTGAGTTGGACACGCAGTCACTGTGAGTTGTAGATGCGGTCACTGTGAGTTGGACACGCGGTCACTGTGAGTTGGACAGGCGGTCACTGTGAGTTGGATACACGGTCACTGTGAGTTGGACATGCGGTCACTGTGAGTTGGATACGCGGTCACTGTGATTTGGACACGCGTCACTGTGAGTTGTAGATGCGGTCACTGTGAGTTGGATACACGGTCACTGTGAGTTGGACACGCGGTCACTGTGAGTTATAGATGCGGTCACTGTGAGTTGGACACGTGGTCACTGTGAGTTGTAGATGCGGTCACTGTGAGTTGGACATGAGGTCACTGTGAGTTGGACACGAGGTCACTGTGAGTTGGACACGAGGTCACTGTGAGTTGGACATGCAGTCACTGTGAGTTACACATGAGGTCACTGTGAGTTGGACATGAGGTCACTGTGAGTGGGACACGTGGTCACTGTGAGTGGAAAGGAACTCATCACCACATGGCAGGTGAGAAAATCAGCATAGATAGGTCATGTAACTCGCCCAAGGTTACACAGCTAGTGAGTAAGCAAATCAGGATTGAACCGAGCCAGATGGTCCCAGAAAACGTGCATTTAACTGTTATAGTTTACTCTTGATGGTGATGGTGGTTGTGTGCTGTGGAGTTGGTTCCAACTCATAGCAACACTGTATAGGATTTCTGAGGCTTTACGGGAGCAGAAAACCTAATCTTTCTCCTGAAGAGTGGCTGGCAGATTCGAACTGATGACCTACAGTTAGCAACCCAACTCATAACCATTCCATACCAACGCTCATTATACCTTTGTTGTTAAGTGCCATCGAGTTGGTTCCAAATTATAGGGACCATGTATTCCAAGGACTTCTTCAATCATGCAGAAAGCCTCATCTTTCTCCCATCCTTATACCTCACTCTTAGAAAATTTAAAACAAGACAATAACCTATGAAACTGTGAGAGCAGCAGCAGGAGTGGGAGGCCTTGGGACAGGGGGATTCATCTCTTAACTGTTAAGTCCCACGGTCTACCACTTCAGCCTTTCCCTTCACTTTTCAGCTTGGGAAAATGACAGCTTCCAAGATCTCATCCTGCAGCTAACCAAATTAGAATCTCTTTTTGTTGAGGCTGTTGTTTTAATTATTATTTTTTTTTTAAAAAAGCTTCTTTAAAAATGTGACTATTACTACATTTTTGTGACTACATCAATTACTTGATTGCTGACAGTTTTTTGCTCCATTTTAAAGAGAACTGAGAAGCAATCTGACTGCCAGTCCCTCCAAGAGACCTCAGGATGAATTCCCTGGAAGAGGTCAAAATCATTTAGGTATGAAACAGACCTGGAGTCAGTAAACCACAAGAGCGGCCCACTTCTCTCACAATGTCTGGGAGAATTTATTTTCAACTTGTTTCCCTCATTTCCAAAATGGGATTAAAAAAGGAGAATTTAGACAATGAAAATTATGAAAAACTGTGGTGGTGGTGGTATGCCGTGGACTCGGTTCCGACTCATAGCAAACCTGTACAGGATTTCTGAGGCTGTCAATATTTATGGGAGCAGAAAGCCGCATCTTTGTCCAGCAGAATGGCTGGTAGTTTCAAACTGCTGACCTTGAGGTTAGCAGCCCAACTCTTAACCACTATGCTACCAAAGCTCCTTACAAAACACTGCTGGAAAAGATTAAAGAAGACTGAAACAAATGGTAATATGTTCCTGGTGTGGCGCTGTGGGCTAGTGCGTCAGACTGCAAAGCCAACTGAACTGCAAAGTCGATGGTTCAAGCTCACCAGCTGCTCCTCGGAAACCCTATACAGGGTTGCTATGGGTCGGAATCGACTTGATGGCACTAACAACTACAATATGTTCTATGTTTATGGATTGGAAGACTAAATATTGTTAAGATGTCAATACTACCCAAAGTGATCTATCGATTCAATGCAGTCTTGGTCAACCTTCTTTACAGAAATGAAAAAAACAATCCTCAACTTTATAGTTTACTATAAATGGCAAGAGGCTCAGACTAAAAGTGGTGAAAGAGAAGAACAAAAGCAGAAGAAGACTCATAGTTCTTGATTTGAAAGTGTATTATCCAGTCACAGTAATCAAGACAGCCCAATAGCCGTATAACAGCAGACACGCAAAATGAGAGGAACATTAAGAACTCCACTTTTCTGGGTTGCTGTGGGATTTCAATCAGATAATGTATGTCAATATACTTGGTAAGTATCTAAGGGATCATGATTTTCAATTACCTTTAGTTTTATCATTGTAGTGAGTGCTTGTTCTCGAGCTTGTAATTGTCCTACTTGGGCAGAAAGGTTCACTAATGTGTTGCTGAGATTCTGGTTCCTAGTCTATAAGGGAACACACAAAAGAAACACCAGCGGAGTCATTCTGAAGCTTTCATTGTCGCCATCACTCTTTATCTGTGCTTATTTCTCTATGTTTTTTTAAATTTAGCCTTTTTTAAATAATAAAGTGGTCTAAGCAGGCAATCATTCAAAAAGGAATACAAATATCTATTTATCTATTGAATCCAGTATCCTTTCAGTATGTGTCTTATCCGACTATATGATACAGGTTATGTTATATACATGTCTATTTCCTCAAGTCTATTTTTATGTGACTAGAGTCCTGGTGTGGTGCTGGAGGATCAGCACTGGACTGCTAACCACAAGGTCGGTGGATCAAACCTGCCAGGAGCTCCTCGGAAACCCTGGACAGTGTTGTTATGAGTTGAAACCAACTCAATGGCAGTTAACAACGTTTTACGTGTCATTTTAGGTTGAGGAAAGAATGAATGAATGAGACCTGCTCTAGTAAATTATTTACTTTCTCTGAAATGAATTACCAGTGCTAAATTTCTGTGGTATTTTTGTATATATTTTTTTAATCTACATTGAAAGAACTTCATATTGAGGTATTCTACTCATCAGTCTTTTTAAATGACAAAACTGTGTCTAATACAATTATTGTATACACAATATGCTTTAGTGGTTGGGGGGAAAAAAAGAATAAACAGACTAAAAATTATCTCTACCATTTTTGAATTCTATAGATTCTAGGATAGTTTTTTATTTATTTTAAATCTAGAAATTATCTAGAATAGTATTCTAAAAAAAATAGTTCCATATTATTATTATGAATTATTAAGACTTATTATATCACTGTGCTCTATAATGAGTGGATCAGGCAGTGTTTTGATCTGCTGTCGCTATGAGTCGGTACCAACTCAATGGCACCTAACGACAACAACAAAAATAATGAGTGCAGTGCCTCTAGAGGATGTACACTGGACTGTGAACCACAAGGTCAGCGGTTTGAGCCCACCAGCCACTATGATGATCAAAGATGAGGCTTTCTGCTCCCACAAAGACTTACAGCCTTGAAAACCCTACACAAGGTCACTATGAGCTGGAACTGACTCCATGGCACTTAATAACAACAATAATAATGAATATCATTATGAAATAAGAATATGAAAGATATTACAAAAAGTAAGCTGCCTTTCTCTCTGTGTGTGTCTCATAAAACATGAGCTCAAAAACTATCTGACAGCTGAGTTAGAACACGAAACCTACTCCATCTTAGAGATTCTGGTTTCAGCATGCTACTAACCAGCTGTAGATACTTGTTTATCACATTCGATGAGGCACAATAGTTTATACATTGCCTAAACTGAAGCTACTGAAACTTGATACTTATCTCTATGTCTTAATGAGGTTTGATTTCTGAGCCAGGGCAGCAAGGTGTCACTAATCCAAAGAGTATGATGAACACAAGCCTGTGATGTAGGCACATGTATACTTTTCAGTGGAAACATTTCATTTAAAGCTAGTTTTTCAATGAAACACAAACAGAATTAGGATGAGGGAAGTTAATCAAGTAATAAGTATCAACCTCAAGATCTTCCGAGAGGAGAGACGCATGGGTTGCCTTCTGAGCCATCTCTTGGAGCTGTTGCTGAGTCTTCTGAAGAGCCATTTGACATTCATTTTGATTCGATTCCAGGGTTTTTACTTTCTTCGTGAGTGACCTGATAATTTCACTTCTTTTATGTAGTTCACCTGAGGGAAATGTCATCCATCATTTATTAGTGGCTCAACATGAAGCTGAAAATGCATCATCCTTTTAAAAAAACAGTGGTTAAAAAGTAAAAATGTGTTAATGAACTTTCGAAAGGGCAATTCACATTTTAAAAACATGTCTTCAAATAGTGAAATGCACATAAAATCAGAAGTCACAAACTTCGCTTGTGTGCAGTTCAACAAACTGCTATGAAGGCTGCTCTCTATGGCACTGGCGAAGAGCCCACATGCCTCCTCCATGTCACTTCCTGCTATTTCTCAGCCACCACTCTTGCTCTGACATCATTTTTTTTTTTTTTTTGCTTTTTATGATCATTCAAGCACATCCCTAGAAACAACAGCCTTTTGAACCATATATAAATGGAATTCTACCCTCTGAATACTTCTGTCAGCTTTCTGTGGTAAAGATTACAACCCCAAAATTCATCCATGTTGTTGCATGTAACCGAGTTTATGTAGTCATAATATATTGTCATATGTCATCAGATACACCAAAATTTACTTATCTGTTCTGCTATTGACGGTCATTTGGGTTGTTTCCACTTGGTGGCTTCATGAACTATGCTGCTCTGCTTATTTCTGTACATGAATATTGGTGGATATATGCAAATTTTTCGAAAGCCTCCTTACACAAAATGTGGTTCAGAACCAGCTGCACTGGTATCATCCAGAAACTTGGTAGAAAGGCCAACTCATAAGCGTCAGACCTACTCAGTCAGAATCTGCACTTAACAAGACCCTGAGGTGATTCATATGCACATTAAAGTATGAGTATATTTCTGAAAGTGGAATTGATGGGCCAGAAGAAATGAAAAGAACTCTCTTGCTAATCAATACTCTGATTGGCAGGGTACAAGTATTACCTATGCTCTACATCATTACCAAGACCTAATAACAAATCACTGGACAATATCATTAATATTGCATACAAGTAAAATTTTGCTAAAGATAATTCTAAAACAGCTACAACCGTACATTGACAGAGAACTGCCAGAGGTTCAAGCTGGATTCAGACAAGGACATGAAACAAAGGATATCATTACTTACATCAGATGGATCTTGGATGAAAACAGAGAATACTAGAAAGATGTTTATCTGTGCTCTATTGACTGCACAAAGGCTTTCAATTGTGTGGATATGACAAGCTATGGACAAAACTGCGGAGAATGAGTATTCCGGAACAGTTAATTGTGCTCATGAGGAACCTGTACATAAAACCAAGAGGCAGTTGTTCAAACAGAACATGGGAACACCAAATGGTTTAAAACTAGGAAAAGTTGCACCAGGGTTGTATACTTTCACCATATGTATTCAATCTGTATGCTGAGCAAATAATCTGAGAAAGTGGATTATATGAAGAAGAATGTGGCATCAGGATTGGATGAAGACTCATTAACTACCTGCAATATGCAGATGATACAACCTTGGTTGCTGAAAGTGAAGAGGACTTAAAATATTGATTAAGATCAAAGACCACAGCCTTGGGTATAAGCTGCAGATCAATGTAAAGAAAACAAAACTCCTCACTACTGGACCAATAAACAACTCCATATAAATGGAGGAGAGATTGAAGTTGTCAAAAACTTATTTTGCTTGAATTAAACATGGAAGCCACAGTCAAGAAATTTAAAGATGTATTGCATTAGGCAAATCTGCTGCTCAAGACCTTTTTAAAGTGTTGAGGAGCAAAGATGTCAGTTTGAGGGCTAAGGTGCAACTGACCCAAGCCATGGTATTTTTAATAACCTCATATGCAAGTGAAAGTCAGACAGTGAATAATAAAGACTTGAATAAAGAAGAATTCATGTTTTTGAGTTATGGTGTTAGAGGAGAATACTTTAAGTACTATGGACTGCCAGAAGAACAAGCAGATCTGTTTGTTGGAAGAAGTGCAGCCAGAGTGCTCCTTGGAAGCCAGGATGGCCAGACTTTGTCTCTCAAACTTTGGACATATTATCAGGAGGGACCAGTCCCTAGAGAAAGATGTCATCGCTGGCAAAGTGGAGGATCAGAGAAAAAGAGAAAGACCACTAACGACATGGACAGGTACAGTGACAGCAGCAATGAACTCAAACATAGCAACAATTGTGAGGTTGGGCAGTGTTTCATTCTGTTGTGCATAGGGTTACCATGAACTGGTACCCACTCGATGGCACCTAATAACAACAAACAATTTTAGCCAGTCTAGTAGATGTTAAGTGGTTGCTCCTTATGGCTTTAATTTGCATTCCTGAATTACTAATGAGGAGCCTTGGTGGTCCCATGATTAGAGATGCTAATTGAAAGGTCTGTGATTTGAACCCATCAAGACGTGGCAGTTTGCTTCTGTTAAACTTTACAGCCCCAGAAACCCAGTCCTATAGAGTCTGTGCTATAGGGTAGCTTTGAGTTGGAATCTCCTTGTGGGCAGGGGTTTGTGATCACTAATGGGAATGAGAAACTATGCACCCTTTGTACGTCTAAGTGTTTTGTTTACCCTACTTTGACATTTGTTTGTTCCACTGTGAGTGTTCAGAATTCTTCCTCATTGAGATAAAACTTCTCATTCTTCTCTTTCCTCCCTGGGAGCCCTGCAAATTTCACACATGGACATGTTATGAGAGATGCTGCTGAATTTCTGACCTTCTAATTTACTGCAACGTTCTTCCAAAGTCAGCACTTTCTGCCGATCCTCCTCCCATGACACAAGTTGTCTTTGATGTACTGCGACCATATCATTGAGCTCTTTATCACGATCTTTTAATTCTCCAATTAACAGCTGCAGTTCTTTCCGCTGCTTCTCAACAGTGGACACCTCAACTTCTGACCCGATGTTCTAAACACAGAAAAGTGGTTTCACATCAAAACAAATCAATACCACAGATCAGCCAAAACAGGTTTTCCAAATATTTGTATCTTCTTTTGTTGCCAATTATAAATAGTTATATAAATTAAATGAAGTTTTATTCACTGTTAATAACATGGCATTGAAATCTGTACATTTAAACAAGTTCAAGCTCATGGTGCACTCAGCTTATTGGTCTCTGTCATACAGCACACAGCATCTTACAGAGTGGGACTGTTTCTAAAACCTCCACTGGTCAACCATGAATAAACCTGTGTCTGCATTTCCTTTTACTTGCTGTGAGCTCTATCTTGTAACTCTCAACAATATTAACCACCACTTTAACCAACAATATTATCCTTCACCTTACCCCAGCACTGAACTGCAAGGTCAAAGGTTCAAACCCACCAGCTGTTCCTTGAAAACAAACAATTGTATAGTAATTAAGTGAATAAAAAGATGATATAACTTCTCCTTAAGTCACTCTCATTAAAGAATGAGAATTTTATTCTACAAAGAAAATGGTATCTTATAATGCTAAATATTTTATTACAATAACATCTGCAGACACTAAATCCACAAGGACAACTTTAAACTGTGACTGATCCAAACTCAACATACATTAAAAATAAGCTATGTAGGAAGAAAACATACAGAAAAGTCAAGAGAACTGCACAAGAAACTTCCAGATA